CTCTCTTGATCGGGGTCACTCATTTAAATAATTAGCAGAGGCCGACTCACGGTGCGTGGAATTTGAGCTCTTTTGCAACTTTATTTCCTTTCTTAGTTTTTTTTATTCCCCGTGTTGTTTCTCTTTCCATTCTTCTTCTGCTCTCTTGCATTCTTTCCTTTATGTTTTTTGTTATTTGTATTCATCTTTGCTAGATTTACGTATATTCCATTTCCTGAACGTTAAGTATTTTCGTTATTCGTTTTTTGTTTGTCTTCGTCTTTTGTTTGTAACGTTAATGGTGCGTGGTCTGCTCTCTTTTCTAATAATCTGAATGTCATATTTTTTCTCATACTTTGTTATTCACAAATACATAGTTTATAACTGTAGAACTCTTGTTTTCTATTTGAGTGAATTCTACCTCTCTATTTTCTTCAGCGTTGCCATTTAATATTTTTCATCCTTTACCTTCACACAAATCGATTAGTTTTTTCATAGTTGTTATTACATTTTTTGTCTTTGCTTTTCCTATGGATGAATTATCTTCAATTAGTTATGTGAATATATCTATATTCCATTTTCTCCTGTTTTTATGTTAAAGTCACCTCCGATTCTAATCTTATCCTTTTCCTTGATACCTATTTCATCTAATTTCTCTAGAATTCTCTTCATATTTTTCGTGTTATACACTGACTATATTTTAATTATTATTTTTCTGTTCTTACCAATTGCTGTTTTAGCTAATCTTTCTTCTAGTCACATTGTATTTGCTGTTCCCTTCTTCAGCCATCCTTTCTTTATTCCTATCATAACCTCCCGCTCCTAAAGATCTTCCCTTTTTATATTTTTTCTTTGCTTCAATTATCTCCCATTTGAACTCCTTTACTAATAGCGATTTAGCGTTTTCTATGTTCTGACTTTCAATCCACACTTCTGAAAGTCTTACTGTATCATTTTCAATACTTTGCGTATTTTTAGATTTTCAATTTTTCTTTTTTTTTTTTAATTTCAAAATTATTACAATTATCTAAATCATCAAAATTATCAGAATTATTATTACAATTATTAAATTTATCAAAATTATAACTTTCAGTTTTCTTCATTTAACCCTTGACGATTCGTCGGCCGTATCATCGACCGGCCATTTCTTTTCCTGGGCCCACTAGTTTTCCTCTCCATCGTGTTTCTCTTTATTTTCATTCTTATCCCCTCCCTCCCTCTTATGTTTACCTTTGCCAAATTACATTTCTTTTTCTCTCAGCTCTAACATTTTTCTTTTTCATTTTTCATAACGCTATTGCCCTCAGTCTGTCCATATCTTCCTAATGAATCCACTGTCCTTCAAATCAAAAACTATTCTATTCCCAATTTTTACCTCCTTTTTTTTTGCCTCCTGTCTTTGATCCACTTTTTCATTTCCTCTTGTCTTTTTCTATCATCGAAATTCAAGTCGTGTTCAATATATACTTTAGTCCTTTTCAGTTTGATTTTATTCGACATTATCTTTCTCTTTTCTTCTTCATTCTTTAGTTTCACAATAATCATTCTCGCCTTCCTATTAATACTACCAATGAATCTCGCGCTAAGAATGTTGCGCGCTGAAGTTGCTGCTCGCCCAGCTGTATTCGCTTGTCGCTCTCTTACGATCGCTCCGTCTATCTCCGTTTACTCAGCGCGCACTTTAGACTCCAACTACACCCGCTGGATCCATCTGTCGCCTCGCCACCAGCGTGACTCTCTTCCGCAACAGAATGTCACTGTCAATTTCTCGTTAAAGTCCTTCTTCGTTATCTCCAGGTTTTCCATTTTCTCTTCACATGCTTCCATCTCCTCTTGCCAACTTTTAATCTCTTCTTTTTGCACCTTTACTATGCTTTCTAAATTACTAACTTTTTTATTCAACGTATTCCATTCCTTTGTCGCATTCTCTTTCATCTATTTGCATTGATATTTTACGCTGTCAATTTCCAGTTGCATATTTTTTCAACTCTTCAACTTTGAAAGTGACTGTCCTCGTCACGACACATTTCGGGGTTTGCTGACTTCCGGTAGGCTTCGCCTTATCCGTAACATTCGTCGGTGGCTTCAATGGTATTTTCTCGAAAAGAATTTAGGAAAGATATTTGCTTTCTTTGCGTCTGTTATCCTTTGTAACTTATCTCTCGATGTGTACGTGCTCGTGCGTAGAAACGCTTCTCGTCACGTGCTGACCTAATCTTTCAGCTATTCTCCACTCACTCCGCACTTTTTCGCTCATTTCATGCTTTTTGTCTTAAACTTTTTCACTCCGCACTGTTTCTAGCCTTTACGCAACTGATATAGTTCACTTTTTCAATTATTATGAAAGTTTTTCAATTTTTAATAAATACAGAAGCACGCTCAACCTATACGTTGATGCTGCAGCGCCTTCTAACCAAGTCCTGAATATTACCACTAATGAAAACTGAAATATAGACTTACCCATTTTAAATGGATACACTATCGATTGAATAGTTCATCTGGAACTGAAGAACTCAAAAAATAGTCATTACAAAAGGCTTGGAGGAAAATGTCATATGGTGACCTTGGATTTGTCCTTAAACTCAATCTTCAAGATCGTATGAGGTTAACTTTTTTTTAATAGATTTCTAATATATTAATTCCTAATTAAAATGAAAAGAACTACCTAAACTGAAACTAACTAAAGAACTAAAGAACTACCTAAACTGAGAACTAACTAAAATGAAAAGAATAAAAAATTATACGTTTAGAATCATTTTACTAATTAGAGGTTATAAGATCATTTTGAGGTCATTGGGATAAAATAGGAAAAAAATGGTTAATATACGAGATGTGTTGAAAAAGTAAGGTGACTTTGTATTTTTAAGAAAAAATATTTATTTATTTATCAATATTTATGTTGTCCCCTTCAAAGTAATCCCCCTCAGATACAATACACTTATGCCAACGGTTTTTCCAATCCTCAAAGCACTTCTCATAAGCACTTTTCGGTATAGCCTTGAGCTCTTCCAGCGATGCAGTCTTTATCTCTTCAATCGTTGCAAATCTCCGTCCTTTCATAGGTCTCTTTAGTTTTGGGAACAAGAAAAAGTCACATGGGGTTAAATCCGGTGAATATGGTGGCTAAGGCATGATTGTGGTGTTGTTTTTGGCCAAAAAATCTCTCAGAAGCAAAGGTGAGTGAGCAGGGGCATTATCGTGATGCAAAAGACATGAATTGTTTTTCCACAATTCTGGGCGTTTTCTTCGTATTGCTTCTCGCAAACGGCGCATAACTTCAAGATAATACTGTTTATTGACCATACGTCCATATGGTAAGAACTCCTGATGCACCACGCCATGGTAATCGAAGAAAACAGTGAGCAAAACTTTGACATTTGATCGAACTTGGCGTGCTTTTTTCGGTCTTGGCTCATCTGGGCTCTTCCATTGGGATCATTCGTCACCAGTTATGACCCTTTTGAGTAAATCTGGGTCGTCATTGACGTCATTCAACAGTTCTTGAGCGATGCTCACGCGACGGTTCTTTTGGTCAAAATTTAGCAATTTCGTGACAAACTTCGCTGACACACGTTTCATGCCCAAAACGTTAGAAAAAATTTCATGGCACGAGCCAAGCGATATACCAACATCCTTAGCAACTTCTCTGATAGTGATTCGTCGATTTTCCAGAACAATTTTCTTCACTGCTTGAACGTTTTCATCAGTTGTTGACATGCTTGGGCGTCCAGAGCGAGGCTCGTCATTGGCATCTTCCCGGCCATCTTGGAAGAGTTTGTACCATTTGTAAACATTTTTTTACTCAGAACAGTTTCACCGTATGCCACCGTCAACATTTCAAGTGTTTCGGAGCACTTTATGTTATTTTTTACACAAAATTTGATGCAAATCCTTTGATCCATATTTTTCGATAGCAAGAAATCGCCGAGCACGCAAAACACTTATAACCTTTACGCCTCTCACAACCAAACAAAAAATGCTATACACTTGAAACTTGGTACAGATGTTCGGGAAGAGTGTACCAACATAACAAAACAAAAAATCGATAATCGAAAGTACGTTGCCCGTGAAATTTGAAATTGAAAAGTCACCTTACTTTTTGAACACACTTCGTAATACTTATTGGGTTTTGACAAAAATAACACAAACAACAGTAACAACAACAAAACCAAAAGCATCAACAAAAATAATAAATATTTTATAGTGAAAAAATAGTAACGTATACAATAAAAAAATAATTATAATTATAATAATAATAAAATTGATGATAGGTGAAATTTAAAGTTTAGTTATACAAATTATTTCAGAATTTAAACATTTTTTATTTACTTTTAATATTAAAAAAGTTGACTTTCATATGTCCTTCAAAATTAAGTTCAAGAACAAATCCAAGATCACCACATGAAACTTTCCTCTAAACTTTTTTGTACTTTTGTAACGACTACTTTTCAATTTCTGCAGTTTCAGATAAAATATTCAATTGAGAGTGTGTGCATTTAAAATGGGTAAGTCAATGTTTCGCTTTCTATTAGTAGTGATATACAATCGCTTGTAACTTTTTAAAAATGCATCGTAGTGAAAAATTCAATCTGTATCAAAATTTTTAATTGATCACACATATTTTCAAAAATACAAGTGATTGAAGAATTTAAATACATTTTAAAACCATAATACTTTATAAAGTGAAATAAAAAATTTTACACCGTCAGCGATTTTGAACGGTTAATTGAATTGGAAACATTTTGTTAATGGTTCATTTTTTTCGTTAAAATCTATCTTGAGTTGAACACATTTTTAATAAATTTATTTTTTCTTATTTTAGCAAAAAAAAAGAATATATCAAGAATTTGATCGAAAAATTAGAGTAACAACAGTCTCCTTATAACTTACCTCAAAATTATTTTAAAACATCTGCCCTTAATCATAATATTTCCATAATTATTAATACTATTTTGGTGTTATATTTCTAAATTTCATCTTCCTGAATTCTTGAAATCTGTTAAATTAGACATTTTTTTCAGGGGAGACAGCGTCGCTGCGAATATACCAGTAGATATGCGACCGCTGCCAAAGGAACCGGATTTTGATGAAAGGAAAAAGAAAAATATGAAAAACAAAATAAAGATGAAAGATAACAAAGATAAACCTAATATCAGCTATCCAACAAACTTTGAACACACGGTTCACGTTGGGTTCGATACTGTAACGGGAGAATTCACAGTAAGTTCATCGCATCATAAATGATTTACAGTCATATAAGTGCTCATAGTTTCTGATGTATTTTATTTTGAGTTTTCAATAATTTTATACAAGTGTTTACATCCTAAGATTCATGAGTTTGTTTCATTTTTATTAGTTTATCCGGAAGATTTAGTTTAAACGTGCGAGTAGCAACTAATTATTTTTTTATTTAAATAATTCAACCCATGGAGGATTATTATGCTGAACTATTTATATTTCATAGAGTTTACAAGGCAAAAGCTTTTTTTGTCTTGTATAGAATGATTTATCAGATTTACAGTCTTTCAAGGTCCAAAACAAAATTTTAGAAGTTTTGGCGTGTGGGTTTAACAAAAATAAGTAGAAGATGAAAGAAGGAAAAAGTTTTATTTGACGCAGATCGATGATTGTAAAAATCATTAACAGTATACGGTCTAAATCTTGCATAGCATGATTGCATTGGCAATACGGTGAGGGTAGATTTAGTTTGCAAAAAGAAGCATTGTGATTGTAATAATCCGAAAGGCATCTGCTGATGGTGATAGTAATTTACTTCAGTAGGCTCATACCAGAAAATCAAGGCTAGGATTGCGGACTTTAATATTTCGTAAGATAATTTCAGCCTTTGAATTATCCATAATAGGTGAGGATATCGTTATTACTGAAAACGGCAAATTTGGAGTATCTCGGAAGTCTGTGTTAAGAATTTTGAAAGAATTTTCTAAATGTAAGAGAGAAGCGTATTTCGTTAACTCATCCGTATTTTGATTACCCTCTATTCCCAAATAGGAATGAATCCAGAAAGAATAAACTTTTTTTAAGCCTAAGCTTGGAGAAATTGAGAAACTATCTTTTTATTTCTTAAATATAGGGATTAGTTCGAGCTAGCATATTGGCATTTCGTAAAGTAAGCAGAGAACTGAACAGGTCTTAAAAAACGAAGTAGTTGTAAGAGAGTAGAAGCTTATTCTGTAGAAGCATATGCTTGCACTATGTATCGCACGATATTGCCATATTTGTATTTATGCGCGTTTGTTCCCTGTCTTCACCGACTAAGTTTGCACCGTTCACACTACCATCGTTAGAGGCGATGTCCTGAGGCCTTGTTGGTTGTGGAAAGGCGTATAATCACTCTCTCTCTCTCTCTCTCTCTCTCTATCTCTCTCTCTCTCTCTCTCTCTCTCTCTCTGTCTCTATTGGGCTTTTGGACGAGGCTGACGCTTTTCGTTCTCTCTTTGATACTCCCAGCTTGTAGCATCTTCCAAGAGGTCGCGCATAGCCTATCAATGGATGAGCGTATCCCAAAAGTGGTTCTTCTATGTATATCATCACGAATATTGCTCGGGCTTGCAGCAAAAAGTTAGGAGAAACAAGTAAACTTATGCATTATTGACAGCTTCAAGTTTCAAAATTCACTCACGTCTATGTCTCATTTGACGAAGCACACCTAATTTTTCGCTTATCCTGCAGCGTAATTATCTTTTGTTATTAGCGATCTCATGACCGGTCCGAAATTAGCGTTTATACTTATATATATTTAGGAGGTTATATTGTGACTTGGATGAGAGTAGACGTGTCTTGTGTGAGTGCTGAGTATAGGCCGATTCTGGAGAGAAGGAGAGCAGGAAGTGAAGAGAAAAGTGGAGAAAAGGTGTAGGAGGAGTGGAAGGGCGTTCGGAGAAGAGAAAAAAAGAACGAGACAAAGGGCGAAGGAAGAAAAGTGAAAAAAAAAAATAAAGGGAAAAAGGATAGGTTAGGGTAGATAAGACAGAAGGCGGGAAAAGAGGAGTGTAGGAGAGGGGCATAAAGGCGAAGACAGAGGGAATAAGAGAGAGAGTTAAGGCGGGAGCAAGGCAGGGAATTGGAATAGGAAACAGGAACGAGATGTTTACAACGCCAGGAACAGCGAGAGAGAGGGACGGTAAAGGGGATAAGAGGAAGGCAAAGGGGGTGAGAGGTAGAGAGAGTGAAGAGGGCATGAGAGGAGGAAACAAGGAAAAAGTGAGGCAGACGAAAAGGTAAAAAAGTGAAAGCGAGGGGAGTGAAACAGAGGGGGATGAAAGGAATGAAATGGACAGAATATTGATAGGGGTGGGGGAGAGTAAAGGAGAAGACAATGCATTTGAAAGAGTACTAGCAGAAATGAGGGAACTGAGAAGAGAGGGGAAGAAAGAGAAAGAGGAACTGCTAAATGAAATGATGAGACGAATGGAAGAGGCGGAGAAAAAAAGAGAGGCAAAATGGGAGAGAGGTTTGGAAAAACTTAGAGAAGAATTAGAGAAAGATAGAGAGGAAAGGAAAAAAGAGAAAAGAGAAGAAAAAAGAAGACAAGAGAAGTGGGAAGAAAGAATGAAAGGATTGGAAGAAGAGATGAATAAGATGAAAAAATACATGGAAGGAAGAGAGACAAGGGTAGAAGAAAAAGGAGTAGATAATAGGGAAGAAATGGATCACATGAAGGAGAGGATGGATAGAGAAAGTAAGGTTAATAATATAATTGTAACAGATCTGGAGAGAGAACTGAAATGGGAAAAAAAAGGAAATGCAGAGGAATGGTTAAAGGACAGAATGGGAATTAAGGGGGAAATAATAAGCCTAAGGAGTATAGGAGGACCAGAAATAAAACAGAGACAGGAAGGGATAGAGTATAGAAGGAAGAGGATGTGGCAAATAAAGTGTGCCTCATGGGAGCAAAAGGAGGGAATAATGAAGAAAAAAAGTAAATTAGGGGAGAAAAAAATATATATAGATCACGACTGGACGTGGAAACAGAGGAAAATAAGAGAGGAGGTAAGAAGAAAAGCAAGAGAATTGAAAAATAAGGGTAAGGAAGTTAAAATATGGCACAACGGGTTAAGAGCAGGGGAGGAAGAGTGGTGGTGGAACGAGAGAGAAGAGAGAATGACAAAGAAAGGAATGGAGGGGTTTCGGAAATAAAGTGGGAAGAGGAGAGAAGAGAGAAGAGGTGAAGGGAAGGAAAACAGTTAAAATATTATTCTGGAATGTGGCGGGAATAAAGAGCTTGGAAGAAGAGGACTGGAAATATATTAGAAATTTTGATATAGTAGGACTTACGGAGACATGGGTGAAAAGAGAAGAAGCAGAAATAAGAATAGGAAGAAATCTGAATGGGTATAACATTGAATGGAGGGACTCGAGAAGGGAAGGAAAAAGGGGTAGGGAGGTAGGGGGTGGACTGATGGCTGTAAGAGAAAGACAAGGGGGAATAAAGGTAAAATGGAAGAAAGAAAGGACAGAAGAAGTCATAGTAGGGGAAATAGAGATAGAGAGAGAGAAATGCACGGTTGCATCAGTCTACATGCAGCACAAGAAAAAAGAAAATTATGAGTACCTAACCGAAGAAATAGAGGAAAATAGAGGAAAATATTAATAATAGGAGGAGACTTTAACGCTAGAACAGGAGGCGAAGGAAGAGAATGGGACAACGAAGGACAGATAGGAGAAATAAAAACAAAGGATGGTATGATAAACGCAGAAGGGGAAGAGATGGTAAAATGGCTAGGAGAGACGGGATTAGTGATTATGAATGGGAAAAAAGAAGGAGATGAAGAAGGAGAAATTACATATATAGGAGCGAGAGGGATGTCGACAATTGACTACATAATAGGAAATATAGGAGGGGAAGAGAGAGTGAAGAAAATGCAAATCGGAGAGAGAACCAAATCGGATCACCTACCAGTAGAAGTGGAACTAGAAAACAGGGTTGAAGAAGAAGAAAACAGAGAAGAAGAAAGGTTAAGAGAAGACTGGAGCGAAGAAGGAATAAAAGAGTATCATAGATGGATAGGAGCAGTAGAAGGAACGGAAAAATGGGAAGAGATAAAAATCAGAGTGCAGAACGCTGTAACAAAAAAGAAAATAAGAAGTAAAAAGGGAACAAGAAAAAGCTGGTGGAGAGAAGAATGCAAGGTAAAAAGAGACAAGGTAATGAATGCTCTGATAGAACTAAGAAGAGGAACTGGGGATAGAAGCAGATACTTGGAAACAAAGAAGGAATACAGAGAGGAAATAAGAAAGGCAAAAGAAGAGGAAGGAAGGAAAGTGGCGGAGGAAATAAGCAAAGATAGAACTAGAAGGAAATTTTGGGAAAAAGTGAGCGCAGGAAAGAAAAAAAGAACAAAAATAGACAAAAAAATAAGTAATGAGGAATGGCTAAAACACTTCAAGAAGCAGCTGGGAGAAAAAGAAAAGGACTACAATCAAAAAGAAGAAAGAAAAGAATGGGAAAGACGTGAAAAAGAGGAGGGAGGGGAAATAAAAGTAGGGGAGGTAGTAGAAGTGATAAAGAGAATGAAAAAGAAAAAAGCAGCAGGAGAAGATGGGATTGCAAATGAAGTGTGGATGGCAGGGACTGAAAGTCTAATAAATGACCTGACAAAATGTCTAAATAGAGTATGGAACGGAGAAGGAATGGAGAAAGGGAATAATAATACCAGTATACAAGAAAGGTAAAAAAGAAGAAGTAAGCAATTACAGGGGTATAACGCTGATGGGCACAGGTTACAAGATATATGCAGAAATAGTAAGGAAAAGACTAGACAGAGAGATAGAAGAAAAAGGAATACTAAGCGATACGCAAATGGGATTCAGACTAAAAAGAGGAACAACAGACGCAATATATGTGCTAAAAACGGCAATAGGAAAAGAAATCAGGGGAAAAGGTGGGAAATTGTTTGTCTTCTTCGCTGATATGAAAGCAGCGTTTGACAGGATAATAAGACAGAAGATATGGGAAATAATGAAGGAAAAAGAAATAGATAAAAGGACCAGAAGAAGTATAGAAGAAATATATAAAGAAACAGGATGCAGAATAAAAATTAGAGGAGAGATAATAGGGGAATTCGACACAGAAAAGGGAGTAAGGCAAGGGTGCCCGCTGAGCACCACGCTATTCAATCTTGCCTTTGTGGAGTTACAAGAGAAAATGAGTAAAATTCAGGAAGGAGGAGTGGTAATAGGAAGAAAGAAAATCTGGACGA